GAATATTCTAACATGACATGACATGGCATCACACATGTGAGGAAGGTGGGGGAACATCCATCACAGCTTAGCGTTGAAACACAGCAGCAGACTCATGCATGGGAGACAGTCCAGGTAAAGGAGTTCATCATCACCCAGCCCTTATTATGTGAAATGTTAATGGGTCTTATCTAAGAAAAAGATGATCAAAAATATGAACAGTAAAATGACAACACATTCACAGCTATTAACAACTGATCCCAAAGAAAGAAAACTAAGCAAACAACTAGATCAGGAACAGAATCACAGAAACAGAGATCACATGGTGGGGCATCAGTGTGGGAGTGGGAGGGAAGGTACAGAGAAAAAGTAGCATAGATGGTAGGAAGAAAATAGACAGGTGGAGGTTAAGAATACTATGAGAAATGTAGAAGCTAAACAACTTATGACCCTTGGACATGAACTTAAGGGGGAGAATGTGAGTGGGAGGGGTCGTGCAGGGAAGAGTGGAATAAGGGGGGAGGGGAATGGGACAACTGTAATAGCATCATCAATAAAGTATATTTTTAAAAAAGGAAAAAGGAAACACTGTGAAATATGTGGAAAATCCATTTGTCATCACACTCCTCAGTCCAGAAAAGCATTTTACACGTCACTGGGTACTTCTGTGTGGTTTCTGTGAGCCAAAGCCTTTAGTCCTTGGCCTGACCTCAGTAGCCTGTCCGATCTCACACTGTAAATATTCTGATATAGATGTTTTCAGCCACAGCGCTGAGCATTAAGTACATCTGATGCCTTGTCCAGAGGACCACCTGTGATGCTCCATTTATCATTATAGGCAGAATGAACAAACTTCACACAGGAAGTCCCTAGGTCTGTGCCTAGTATGAACAGTCCGCCAAGTCCCAGGTGTCATGTGCACACACAACTTGGTGAAAGACTGAACTTTAACACAGGAAATTGGAGGGTGAGGCTTCTTGAGGAATACCCAACACTTCTTACCCGTCACTGGCCCTGGCACAGATACTCACTGTAAGACCACGAGAAGTCCTCTGTTTGTAAAGCAACATTCGTGGCACCTGTGGGGATTCACAGTGTGCAAAACTCTCTCAGCACCAGGAAGGCAAGCCCGTCCATGGTCGCTGAGGTTGCAGTCAGTCACCTAGAGATTCCCAAGCCAAGGAGAGAGCAATCCTGGGATCAGAGGAGAGAAATGTCCCATTAGATCTCATTGCAGAAAATAACAGCATTTGTGTGTGTGTGTGTGTGTGTGTGTGTGTGTGAAAACTTCTAAAAGAATCCTGTAACACTCAACCAACTAAATAACTGAGACTTTAGGAAAATACCTGCTCATAAAACCTGCGGCGTAAACTGTAGGAGAGTGAAGTGATCAGAGAATATGGAGCACAGAATTTTGTGCAAAATTAAACCTTTTAAATATAGCAATGCTTGCAGAGAGTTAAACAATAAAAGTTGTTGCTCCTGAAGGAAAGTGGTGGTGTTGTCCTTTCTTACGTGGTTGTGAGCAAACACCCTCAGGCCGGCACCCCTGAGCACAAGGATGGGGACCTTGTCTGAGGCTCACACTCCCCCTTTCCCGAACACCTCTCTCTGCAGACCTCACTTCCCCCCATTCCCCCCTCCCCTGCAACAGCACCCCTCCCCTTTCAGCTGGCGGTGGCACGACTCCCAGCTTCAGCCCCCACACGCTCAGTGTATCGGGGTGCCAGGTCCCTGCCCAGGGAAAGTCATGGGAGCAGTATCACTGGTGTCTTGTCTGAAAATCGTGGTGGCCCAAAAGCATATGTCTCTGCCACTGGAAGCAACACGGGGACAGGAGACAGGTGGTGCTGCCCACCTGGCCCACAGAAAGTTTCTCCAATTTGGTTCCAAAATCTCTTCAGTTTGGAGCTATGGGGAGAACACAGTGCCCTCCACAACCACACTCCATTTCTTAGATAATTGCTGAGGTATGCATTCCCCAATCATCCCTGATCAGACCACAGCCATTCTTCTCCACCCCCCAGCATCCCAGAGAATAAAGCTGCGAAAAGATGAATTCCTAATCCTTTCAGCCCCCAAGCAAGCTGAGTATTCCTTTTTTTACTAATTAACAGCATGTGCTTTCCCCAAGCAAAAAGAGGCTTGTCATAAAAGGGGTTTTCCACTCTGTGCCCAGGTCTGAGAATGTTGTGGTTCAACAAATGCCAACATTGAACCTCAACAAACACCAACACTGAACCTCCACACCCAGGGGAAATGCTCCCAGGATCCCCTGGACACACCTGTGCTCTGACCACTAGCACAGTCTCCAGACCATGGGCCTGACTGAGACCCTGATTTCCCAAAAAAATAATCTTCCCAAGGGACTCCCCTGTACAGGGAAGGCGGGGAAACAGAACGCCAACTGAGAGGATGATGAGGAAGGAATTTTATCATCTGCCTAAGACAGTACATGTTTCTGCCCCCCACACCACAGATTGAAGTCAGTGCAATTCTTACCTCCTGAGAGACTGAACAAAATGTGTGATTTCCCTTCTTTGTTTCCATGGAAGCCAGGCCCAGGTGAGCTTAGGTGAACAGGGAGCCACTGCTTCTGATGAATACTGGGTCCAGAGGCAATCCTGGGACTGTGCCTCTGGACGTTCTAGGTTGCCTCCGGTGTCCAAGGAAAGGTCACTCCCTCAACAGTAAATCTCACAGAGGGCAGCCACCCCCGAGAAAACAGGCACACGGGTCTAGCTCTTCCAGAGAGTCCCAGGGCCTTGCTACTGGCTCAGGGCACCCCTGCTGGGCCCGGATCCCAGAGGAAGCTGCTGGCCAGAGCAGTGGCCTGAGATGCAGGAACCAAGGAGAAGACCAGGCAAGGCTTCCAGGAGGATGGGAGGGCAGAGGCCCTGGTCAGTTAAGGATGACGTCCTGCTGGACACATCACATGCAAAGCCGGTGAGCTTCAGAGTCAGGGAAGGTCGGATATAGCTCAGGAGAGCTGCCTGGCCTGTAGGGAGCCCTCTCTGCCAGACAGTGACAGACTCACTGAAAGATGCTGAGTTTCCTGGGAGGCAGGACAGGGATGTGTGCTGGCGGCTCTGCCCACTAGCGCTTGCCGGAGCGATTCAGACAGGAAGTGTCATCCTGTCCTGCTGCATCCCTTTGTCAACAGAGAAAGCAGGGCCTGGTGCACGCCAAGGACGCCGAGTCCAGCGTCTTCAGGAGACCCCCTTAAAGGGCCACATCACTCCCTTGGGGGGGGTTGTAATCTAATTTCCACCTACTTAGTTAATTGCTCACATCACTAATAGAACTATTTACTTCTGTGGTCATGGCCATTACTTCGGGTCTCTGTCACTCTTTTCATGTAACTTTGCTTAGGAAGGACTTTAGGGGTCTTGGCTACTAAACGTTGAGTAGACCGTGTCTGGGAGAAGGGTTTCTATTTCACTGATGAAGACGAGAAGTTGCCTGCACAGGCACACACACACACGCAGGTGAGGCCCGGCTGCCCCTGAGATGGCTAACCCCCTTGAAAAGTGGAGCCTGCTACCTGGGCCCCTTCTTTGTCTCAGTCCCGCTCTGGTCCTTTGGTCTCGGCTCAATTTCTGTCCCATCCTCTCTCTCAGCCTCTTCACCCCAGTGCCCTTTATGCTATGCACTGGTTTTCCCCCGAATTGGATCTATGCTCTCCTCACAGCTCATGGCTACATATGGATCTGCCCTGGGCTACAGGGAGGGTCACCTTCTCAGTAGTTACCCAGGTGCCTGCTCCACACCCAGGCCCAGGGGCCCCTGTCCTGCCCCTCCCCTCTACCCACCCCTCCCATTGGGTCAGGTCCCAGGCCGCCTTGGGATCCCAGCGCCCTCTTCCTTTCCTTCCTTCTAATTCCCAAACCTTCCCTGCTCTCTTCCTCTCATTTGCCCACTTCAAACACCTGACTCCTGCCCCAGGACCCTGCCTTCCCACCTCAGGTTACCTTCAGGACTTGGGCCCCACCTGCAGGTCCCCGCACTTTCCCTTCCTCTCAGTGAAGAACATCCCCCAAGTTGCCCGGACACACTTCAGAGCCTCACCCTCCACACACTTCCTTATCTGTGATCCTCCAGCAGCCTCAGGGCCCCTCCCAGGACCCCTCAGTCTCCAACCCGCCACCCCAGGGAGCAGTCCCAGACCCACAGGACTTGAGAATTACTCAGGTCCAGCCTCCTCCCCCACCCTGAAAAGATTTGCAGAGGCTAGACCAGCAAAAGAAATAGAGCCTTTTAATACAGATTCCTTTAGAAAATGTCATCCTTCAAAATTGACAGAAAATTTCTAGTTTAGAAATTAACTGGAGATTAATGTAGTCCAGGCCTTTAAACCGTGAACCTGGAGCTTTCTTCACTCAGTCACCTCGCTGTCCCATTGGCTGATGAGCGGAGAAATTCTCAGCAATATCAGGAGGCAGTGCTGGAAAGTAGAAGAAATATGTATGACATGACTGTACATATCAATGTATGAACCAGGTCTTGAAATCTTCCATTGCAATGTCAACAGCAGTGGATTTGTGAGATCTCACAGTGATGGGAACACAAGAGATCTCCCCAGATCCCATTCAGTGACATCCCAAGGGGGAAACCAGGGTTCAAGCTGCTTCGCCCGTGAGTGGGGCAGTGGCTGAAGCTGCACTCCAGGGACGTCCTCATGGACTTGCACGCTGTACACCTGCCCTGCCTGGCAGTTCACCTTTCCGTGCTGACTGTCTATCACCCATTCTAGCAGCTGGCGCACGCCAGCGTGTTCACCTGTGCAAACCCAGCCACTGCCCACATCCACCCGCCCCCCTGGTCCCCTTGCCACCACATGCAGAACACACCCCAACAGGTCAAATGCCCAATCCCTTAGAAAAACTGGAAAACTAAACTCAACTCCATCCCCCATGTCTTTCCAAACACTCTATTGATTCAACAAGTAACTACATTTATTGACAAGTATCCCACTTTGCAAGAATCACATATCCCAGGTCCCCCCCCCCACCAAGGACCCATCACACAGTGCTCATGGGACAGTCCTCAGAGCAGGTCATCAGTCCAAAGCCCTCAGACACACACCTGCATCCATAAGGCCGCGGTGACCACTGGAACACATGCCCAGAACGGGTCCCCTTCTTCCTCCTGTTCGCCCTGGCCTTCCCCTCAGCTGCACTGTCGAGCAGGTAGTTTTCCTGTCCAGGCAGATGCTTGGTCATGCCAGCCCTGTATCTGGGTGGGTGAATCATGACCCAGTTGGCTGGCACGGCCCATTCCACTTTCCTGAGGTTGTGCTCTGCCTTGGGTCGGGATAGCTCCTGGAACTGCCTCCACTCCTCTAACGAGGTGAATTGGACCGAAGTCTCTGGCACAGGACATTGTGACCCAGGACCTGTGACACTGGAGTGACTCTCAGTGGCCTGCTGGATGGGTTCCAGGTCTTTTGCTCCATCTGCGGGCACCTCGGTTTACCGCTTACAGACACACTCTCGTGGCCTCCTTCCAGTTCGTTCTCCTGGACGTAAAAGAGGAGGTAGGCAGGTTGGCGCAGGGCAGTAGAAGTGGCACAGGCAGTCACCTCAGAGTCATTCGTTTTGAACCACTGGCCGTCTGCAGCTTTCACGTGACAGAAGTAATGCCCGCTGTGGCAGTCCCGTCCGGCGTGGACCAGCACAGCACACAGCTCGCACACCAGGGGCCCTGGGTTCTGCTGAGACAGGTACCGTTGCACATTGAGGCGCTCAGCATAGTGCACGACCTTCTCCATTTTGCTGCCTGTGAACGCCGAGAAACGTTTCAACGCCAGGATAAGGACCTTAGAGGCAGTGTGCAAAGTCAAGGTCTTGCTAGCAGGCACCTTCTTGAGGCAAACGCTGCACTCGTAGGAATTGTCGCCGTCCAGCTTTTCAGGTGTCACCAGCAGTTCCAAGGCTTGAGCCACAGTCTCAGCCCCCTGGATTTCCAGGGCAACGTCCAGGTACGGGTCCAGGGTGTCAGACATGCCCTGGCAGCAGAGACACTTGACCTGAGACCTCCAGTAGCCTCCGAATATCTGATGGACCAGGGTGGCGTCCGCGGGGGGCCTGGCCAGCTGCTCCGGCTCACGCCGACAGGCTTGCTGCATGGCGTCCATGGTGACCATGAGATACTCGTGGGCATCTTCCTGCTGCTGTCTGTGGAAGCCGCCAAACAGCTCCTTGGGGGGCTCGATCACGTCTCCAGGATGCAGGAGGGCCCGAGTCACGTGAGCTTGCATGGCACACAGGACACAGGACGTCGGCTTCGGACAGGTCTCGGAGTGCCTCCCGGACCACAGGTAGCGGGCCAGGGGCGGGGTGTGTGTCAGGCACTGCAGGGCGGCATTGATGTAGCACGTGTTCCCCAGGTTCCGGAGCCCAGCTCCAACCCCCGTAGGGTCCCTCTTCTGCGCAGAGCAGAGATGCAGCCTCCATGGCTCCGGAGACAGTTTTCAGCGGACGTGGCACCTGTGAGCTCCCGCTGCAGAGTGAAGCTTCTCTGGAAGAGCAGGTCTCCCAATGAAGGGCACCACTGGCGCCTCCGCCCTTTATGGGGGAGCCCAAGGTCTGCGGGCCAATCAGCTGCGGAGCCTTTAGGGTTGGGTTGGCCACTCCCTGGACATAAAGAGACTAAGGGATTCTAATTCTTACCTGTTATTCTTATCAGGCAAAGATTAGGAGATTAGAGCCCTAGACCTACAGGAGGCGGGGCTTGGAATTCGAAGGTGTAGACTGGAGTTTGCTGTCCTAAGGGGAGGATGTCCGGAGCTGCCAATGGCTGGAGGCCAGGGTTCTCCTTGAGAGCCTTCGGAGGGAACCTGGCCCGCCTGGCTCCTGGTGTGCACTGCCGGTGTCCGGACTGTACGGGGATAAATGTCTTTTAAGCCTCCTTGTTCCTGGGACCTAATGAAATCCATAAGATGTCCTAGTTAAGATGTCCTGTATGACATCTCTTTTTCAAAATGAGGTCTGCAACTGAAATCAGTTTTATTGTCGATTTCATCAGATTTTAGGTAAGAGGCAAATAACGTATACAAGTTTGAGCCATAAAGAAAAAACCCACCGTGAATCCCATGAACATATGGCATTCTGTGGAAATCTGGGTATCCGACACCTTGCTCCTGTCTACACACACACACACACACACACACACACACACACACTGTTTTACCTGAAGTATGAGACAGCACCCGTTGGCACCCAGTGAGCACCCTAGCACTACCGCAGTAAGCAGCTCCTGGCAGGATTCCTGCCCCTGTGTTCCCCCCTAGACAGCTCTGACCAGGTCTGTGTTCCACAGCCGATGAGCAGGGGGCTTCACAGACCTGGGGAAGCCTTGCCTAGACTGTGGGAGAACCAGAAACGTCACCAGCACCTGGATCAGGCTGGCGGGACCCCGTCCCCAGGGCTTGCAATGCAGCGTGAAGGTTTCTCGGGTGCATGAGGGCACAGTGAAGATGTAGAGAGGACCACAGGGGGCCTAGGACACTTCTGTTGCGCCACTCTTTATGGCCACCGGGGATCCAGGGCTTGGGGCTATGGCAGAAAATTGGAGGCAGTAAATCTTGAGTGATTAAGAGACTTTGGTTAGTTCTGCCCCCTGCACCCTACCAGGACAGAGAAACACAGTATTGTCCAGACTTACACCATCATCAGTGCTGCCCTGGTTCATGAACCTCACACATCAGAACAGCCAACTGAAGATGCTGTCTTTTGGGAAATTTGAATTCCCCATCGGACAGAAGAGCGGGCAGACTCAAATGCAAATTCACTGCATAAAAATGTTTTCTCCTCTGCTGGACTGAAACCGTAACCTCTGACGTGCTAATCTTGTATTTTCAATAAATAAGTTTTACCTCCATTTTCTATTGATAACCAGTTCCTAATACATGCCAAATGAATGTGTTTTTTAAGGGTTTCCATATTTTTTTAGACAGAGGGGAAATGAGGCAGGAAGAGAGGGAGAGAAACATCAATGTGTGGTTGCCCCTAACACTCTCCCAATGGGGACGTGCAATGCAACCCAGGCATGTGCACTGACTGGGAATTGAACTAGGGACCCTTTATCACAACCCATGCTCAATCCACTGAGCTACACCAGCCAGGGCCCATGTGTTGAAAATATGTCCAAACATGTCAGTGATGTCCGGGACCCGGGTTTCTATAAAGGCTCACACCCAGCTCCCACAAATCACACTTCTGGGTCCACTACTTTGGATATTGACACTTGGACTAACCATAAGCACTGAGAAGATGCCATTTGTCCTCCTCTCGGCTCAGATTACCGTGCGAATGAAGAAGTTTACCACCCTCCTTAAAGCCCCACTGTACCTAGTTGCTGGTGTCCCATTTCTGGGAGGAACAGTCCAAAGGCCAGAATGAAAGGAAACCCACCTGAATTTAGCAAGGCGCCTTGTCCGCCGGCAGCTTCCCAGAACCATTGGTGTTGGACGGGCTCCAGTGGGCGCGGTGCACCTGGCGGGAGCTGACAGGACACCAGGGGAGGGTCCAGTTCTCCTTGGCTTTTCTGGCAGCTGCAAGTCTCCTCAGAACACGGACCTATCAATCACTTTAGCATTACCCCTGGAAGAAGGCGGGAACCTCCATCACATTAGCGTAACATATGTTTGGGGGGAGGCAAGTCCCCTAGGGACTCACAGTCCTTTGAGCTTTTGGCTTTACCACACAGTGGGCCCCGGGAGACCCACGAGCTCCCTGCTAGGAAGCTGCACCTTCCCTACAAAAAAACAAGCCCCTGGGGGGGTGGGGTGCGGGCTGTCGGCTTCTGCGGGTCAGGTCCACTGCAGTGGACACAGTGAGATCGGAGGTCAAGGGGTGGGCTGAGTGAAGAGTGCAATAGCACCCACAGGGCCAAACCCCAAGGTCCCATGGCCTGCACCTGCTCCAGCCTGCTTGGGGTGTCATTCTCACCTGGGTGTCTGCCCCAGCCACCGTCCCTGCAGACCTTGCCTGTCCCCTGTCCCAGCCGGCGTCCTCAGGGTCTCTCTACTCGGCTGAGCAGGGAAATGCACCATGCAGGAGACCCGCGATTTGTCCTTTGGGACCCGCTGGTTTGCACCTTCCCCTGCCAATCCACTCCCTGATCCTGGGTAAATGGTCCCCAGATGGACATCGGGAGCGCCCTGTCCCTGCCTGTCACAATCTGTTCCCGAGGATGAAACAGGACTCACTGGCACCTGCTCACTTGCCTGCTGCTCCCATTGGCTGGCAATTGGTCCTTCCCGCCATCTCCTGCACCGGCCACCCGGTCGTATGTAGGGTCAGGTGCTGGTATTGCGCCTATGAAGACACATTGAGGAAGGGGAACATGAATCCCTCCATCCGGACACTGTAAGTGTGTTCCCGTCACCACTCATCCAGCGGATGGGCCTAACGCTTATATATTACAATCTCTTTCACAATAGAAAGCAGACGACAGAATTCATTTTATAAAAATGGTGAGCCTCTCAGCTGTGAAGTTTTCAGTGTAGTCGAGGACAATATAAATGGGTTTCACCCAGAAATGTACGCGGTAGAAGGGACCTATAGTTCAGACAGGATCCGGGTACCCGGACCTGGAGGAGTGATCTGGAGAGTAGACCAGCGCACCTGGTTCGCCGCACGGTGGCTCGCGGTGAGTCGAGTCCACGGCGGGGAAGCTCGCGGATACGCAGCCGCTGTGGGCAGGGTGCGCAGGCGCACCCCCCTGCAGTAGCGGGAAATCCAAGCTGTTTGTTGGGGAGCCACCAGAGGAACTCGAAGGGCGGGGCCAGCATGCCGGCGCTTTGACCGGGGTCACCGGGGACGCAGACAAATCAATAGTATAGACAAGGTCAACCGGAACAGCACTGGAGGTCAAATACCTGCGGATGCCGACATACAGCCACCGCCCTGGGGTGGGAACTGTTGACAAGGGCGGACGCCCACCTGTGCGGGCCCCTACCTGGGAGCCCATAGTGGCCCGGGGTGGAGGGCTGCTTTGGAGGGCGCCATGGTCTGGGGAATAAAAAGGAAAGTGCCTGAAAGGGGAGATTCCCGTTTCCCTTCCTCAATGTGTCTTCATAGGCGCAATACCAGCCCCGCAAAATACCCACGAACACACGGCCGGGGCAGGAGATGGCGGGAAGGACCAATTGCCAACCAATGGGAGCAGGGGCCGAGCGAGCAGGTGCCAGTGCGTCCCCTTGCATCCACGGGAACAGATTGTGACAGGCAGGGACAGGGCGCTCCCCGTGTCCACCTGGGGACCATTTACGCAGGGCCGGGGACTGAAGTGGCAAAGCAACGTGCAAATCTAGTCGTTCTGAAAGGACAAATCGCCGGCTCCTACCCGGTGCATTTCCCTGTTCAGTCGCGTAGAGAGACCGCGAGGATTGCCGGCGGGAACGGGGACAGGCAGGGTCTGTGCGGAGGGCAGAAGCGCTGCTGGTCCGCAGACACCCGGGTCCGGATGGCACCGGGGCGGGAGGGAGCAGGTGAAAGCCACAGGGCCCCGAGGAGCGGCGGGCTTGGTGCCGTTGGACTCTGTCCTTAGCCCGCCCCTCCATGTCTGATCTCACAGGCCTACTGTGGTCCACCCGCATTGCAGAAGCAGACAGCGCGCAAAGGCTGGGGACTTGTTTTTCTTACTACACCTGCGGCGTCCTCGCTGGAAGCAGGTGGGTCTTACACCACCACACCCTGATAAAGCCGGAAGGAGTAAGGATTGCACCTCCCTAGGGGACCTGCCTTCTCCTGGGGGGTTCTGCTAAGGTGGTGGGGATTCCCACCTTCCTGCAAGGGATTATGCTAATGTGGGGGTGATCGCGCTGTGCTCTCACGGGACTTGCAGACCACATAAAAGTCCAGGAGTACGGGACCCTCCAGCCTTCTCCTGTCAGCTGCTGGAGGGTGCGTCGCGTCTGGAGGACCTGCTCCAACACTTCAGGTCTGGGAATCCAGTGGTGGAGAAGCGTCTCGCACACTTCAGGTGGGTTTCCTTTCATTCTGGCCCTTGGCCTGTCCCTCCGAGAAGTGGGACACTCCCATCTAGACATTGTGGGACTTCAGGGCGTGGGGTAAGTGTTCTTCATTTGCACGGTAACTGGGCAAAATGGAGGACAAAAGGCATCTTCTCAATGCTAATGGTTCCTCCAAGCGTGAATATGAAAGGTAGTGGAGCCAGCAGTGTGATCTGTGGGAGGTGGGCGTGAGCCGTTATGGAAACCAGGTGTCGCGGGCCATGACTGACTAGTTTGGATATAGTCCCGACACATTAGCGCGGGCTGGTGTAGCTCAGTGGATGGAGCACTGGCTGTGAACTAAAGGGTCCCTAGTTCAATTCCCAGTCAGGGCTCATGCCTGGGTGGCAGGCGATGTCCCCAGTAGGAGCGTGTGACAGGCAACCACACATTCATGTTTCTCTTGCTCTCTGTCTCCCTCCTTCCTCCCCTCTGTCTAAAAGTAAAGGAAATCCTTAAGAAACTACATGTTCATTTCACATTTATTGTTAACAAAAGTAAATGGAGGACAAATTTACTTACTGAAAATAACAGAGTAGCCCATCAACCCTGAAGTTTTCAGCCTAGGAGAGGAGAAAATAGATTTATCTTGGTGAATTTGTATTTGAAACTACTTGGTCTTCTGTCCGATGGGAAATTCAAATTTCCCAGAAGACAGCAACTTCATGGGGCTTTCTAACTTGTCCGGTACATGATCCAGTGCAGCAATGATGACGGTGTACTTCTGGGGAATGATGCCTTCCTCTGTCCTGCTAGGTTGCCGGGGACATAATTCACCAAAGTCTCTTAGGTCATTCATCCCATTTGACCAGGTGATCCTCAAGTGTCTCACCTTAGAGTCCTGACAAGGGAATCAGCTCTCTATTTAGGGTCAGGTTCTGGGTGTAGGCAGTCAGCTTAGAGCCCTGGCCTGGTGGCTGGCAGTCAGCTTAGAGCCCTGGCCTGGTGGCTGGCAGTAAGGTTAGAGTCCTGTCCTGGAGGTGGGCAGTCAGGTTAAAACCCTGACCTGGGGAGTGGGGAGTCAGCTTAGAGCCCTGCCCTTGGTGAGGGTCAGGCAGGTTAGATTTCTGAACTGGGAGTGGGCAGTGAACTTTGAGCCTTGACCTGGGCATAGGTAGTACGAAGAGGGAGAACACGGCTTCAGACAGAGGTGTTCTTGGCCTCCAAGGTGGCTTTCCTGAGTGATCAGGAGGTCCCTTCATGCCCACTAAGAGCAGAATCTTCATGAGGACCTTTTCTCTCTGTGTGATTTTTAAAAACTTTCTTTTTTCCCCTCAGAAGATCCGCAGATTTACACCTGGGCAAAACTCAGTCAGAGCCTCACCACGGTGCTGTAGATGGCGGGTCGTCACCCACAGGCTGGGCCCAGCAAATCCCTGAGGGCCCAGAAAGGGCAGAAGCAGCCAAGGGCCGCGGTGGCTGTCAGGGCTCCCCCAGCGGAGGAGGAGGACCCCAGGGTGAGTGGGGGCTTTGGTGCTGTCGGGGGTCTGGGCTGGCAGGTGCGACTGACATGGAATTTGGACATGGCATATCCTTTGCCCATAACTATGGGTCCTTTCCCTTTTAGGGGACACCTGCTGGGGTTATATTCACACGGTAGCTTGGTCCCTTCAGTACAGAACACCAACTTCATTTCCTAGTTAAAATTCTAGCAGCCTGTTTTGTGCTGCAATGGTTTCATTCGGTGTACGTGCCTCAGCTTAGAAATGAAACTGTTTCTCATGCATTCCTCTCACTAACTCGGGGTGGGGGATCCCCGGTAGTATATCCAATACCAGTGCCTGCGGAGCCCCATGCTTCGACCCTAGTCACTAACACATATTCACAGTCTAGGAATCACTCCTCTTTATCACTGTTCAAATGTGCATCTGGTTGGGGCTGACGCACTGTCCCGAATCTCCCCCCTCAGGTGAAATGCAAGAACTGTGGGGCCTTTGGTCACAAGGCAACCAGCACCCGGTGTCCCATGAAGCACTGGGATGGGGCCGTAGCCCCCCAGCCCCTCAGCTCCAATAAGATGAAGGAGAACCGGAAACTGTGCTCACCTGGAAACGCCAGGAACCCAGGGTCCACAGCCCTGCCTGCCAAGGAGAAGGAGCAGAGATCCAGGTGAGCACTGTGGGGGTTGGAGCCCAACCTTGGGGGAAATCCATGGGGCTGGGGTCCCTTATCTCTCCACGGTCTGCATTAACATCTCCTGGAAGGGATGGGGACAGGGCGAGAGAGAAGGAGACCCCTGTCTCCAGGGTCACACTCAGGTGGTCACTCTCCCACTGGGGGGTCACTGGGGCAATGGAGGCTAGGGATAGGCATGGGATCACCTGGGACTTGAAGAAGGACAGGCAGAGAGGCCATGGTGTCAAATAAAAGTCCTTCATGGACAAGCCTGGAGGAGAGAGGGAGGGAAGGAGTGAGGGGCAGGAGGGGGCCAGTGTGGCAAAGGCACCTGGCCTCAGTCTCTGGCTCACATGGGAAGAGGGTAAGTGTCTTTGCCACAGAAAGTTTTGTCTCCACTGAGGGCAAGGAGTGGAGTGACTTTCTTTCACCATGTCGTGTCCTGCAGCCAAGAAGACCAGCAGAGACAGGCTCTGCTCCAGAGATATCCCAGAAGACCCCTCGGGAGGCTGCAGCCATCCAGGAAGGATCAGGAACAAATCTGTAACTACCTGAGGGTGAGTGTCTGCACTGTCTGAGCTCCTCTACTTCAATGAGTCAACCCCACTGCCCTCAGTTCAGTTGTTAGCGGGGGAGGGGCGGGATTGTGGGACCCTCCAGGAACCTCGCTGGTGCCTGGAGTGTATTTCACCAATGTCACCTTCCAGCGTGCCTGTGAGTGTGCCTTACACTTACATGTGTGCCAACACTGCGCTGCTGGAGGGTGAGGTTAGGACCTCAGTAGATGTTCCCAGATGGTGGGATCCCTCGGGGAGAACTGGCATGTTGAAACTGGGAACCCTACACCCAGATGACCCCCCAAGCTCACTAGTGATCAAACTGCCCTCAAACACCATGAGTTGGGTCCCTTCTTGAACGAGGGAATCTCAGGACTTCATTCCCTTCACTGACAGGGGGCACTAGTAGCAATTGTCTTTTTTGTCTTTTGTCAGGCTTGGTACAGAGGGCACTGTGTGACTTCTGTCACAGTGTCCAGCTCTGAGGTCAGCGACCTCCTCATCTGTACCATCACTGAGGGCACAGCAATTTCTGTGCATGTCCGCTTTGAAGATCTTCGTTGTCCTACTTTGTTTCCTCTTGTTCTGTCTTTGATGCAGAGGAAATTCTAATGTGTAATCTCTTTCTGTCTCTGCCTCCAGCACCCACACCAGCCTATGCCAGTCCACACGACCCAGAGGATATGTCTGGGAGACATTGGTCACACCACGAGTTCCCCTGACAGAAATCCTGATGAGATATCCACAGTGTCTGCCATCCACAGAGCTGAGAGGAGCATCTTCTCACCAACGGTGGTAAGTAAGGGAGAGAGAGTGCCTGTCAGTGACAGCCATCACCCAGCAGGCATGGGCTTTGTCCAGGGTCCTGGCTCCAACCCACATAATCTAGCTCCTGCCTCCATCCCTCAGGCACAGGCCAAGCACCCAAATGTGAAATCACCAAGCATGGGACAGGCTGCTGCTCACAGTTCCGGCCACAACTCCCAAGTCAGCCTCAAGGCCCCTGGTAAGAGGGCTGCAGAGAGCCCTGTGCAGACCTGCCAGAACCCCCTAAAGAAGCCCAGACTCAGCTCCTGCCCAGGCGCCCAGAAGACCATGCCCAGTGCAGACCCAGAGTGTGTCCAGCCAGTCCGCCCTCCAGCAAGTGTTCCTGTGCTCACACCTGCACTGGCACCTCAGGCTCCCAGGAAGACACCTACCCAGGGAGAAAGTGTTGACCTGCCGCCTCCACCCAAGGGACGTCTCCTGAGCACTGTCTACCCCTGCCATGTATCTCAGCATCCTCTGGTTTCCCAGAGGCAAGGCCAGCCTCTCAGAATGGTCCTGAGAAGGTTAAAGGGAGGCCAGTGGAGCTCCAGGCTCCTGAGCACTCCCTCAGTGCTGCCTGCTGAGGACCCTGCCCCTCCTGCTCAGAGCCCTCCCTCCCCCGGGATGTCAGAGGCACCCTGCGCCTCTGCTCCTTCAAGTGTCCTCGACGAAGACCTCCAGGTCTCCTCCTCCTCCGAGGACAGCGAGGACCTGCAGGACTTCTCCTTCTGGGAAGACACTGATGACTAGTGAGATGCCCGTGTCTGTCAGACCAGTCCTCCACACCGGGTGACCTGGAGTGACTGAGGAACTAGGGAGGGGAAGTCTCGGGGACAAGCTCTTTCTAGGAAACAGGCCAGTCCCGTACTGTGTTCTGTGGACATCTGCTGGGAACCTAGATCCTGTTTGGGGACACAGACTTGTAAATACTTCACTTTGAATCATTTGGGTTAAGTGATATTTCTAAACGTATTTGTTTATTAGCTCCTGTTGGTAAAGTGATATTGCTAGTGACATTGTTAAGTACGTGTAGTTAAATTTGTAAATTTATATTAATGCACAAGGAATTAGGTCAGTTAGGAATAGTAGCTTTTACACTGTACTTTCAATAGGAAGTTAGGTCATGTATTTATGTGAGGTTAGCAGCGTCCCCACTTTGGGGACACTGGGCACAGGGACTGGGGACAGCACAGCAAGTTTGAAGCAGTGCCTGTCTGAGGGGACACTGTCCACTGTGTGGCGTTTTTCAGTGAAAAGGAGAATGGGGCCCCTTCTGCAGACATTGTACCTTTGTTTATGAAATGCCATCATAAAGTTGTGTTTACAAGTCCCTTTCCTTTTTAATAAACATCTGCCCAGTATTTGTTGTTCTTGGTCTTCATTTTTGAGTATTTCTGGTCATTTTAAAAGCAGTGGTTTTTCCTCAAAGCTCATTTCACTCATAAGGAAGTTGAGTCTGGTACAACAGAGTGCCTCCTGAGGCAGAACCTCAGCCTGACCCAGCTGGACAGCATCAGTATGGGAATACTCAAGAAACGCTCTCCTGAGTCTGCTGTAGCTTCAAATGAGGATTGCTTGTACGCAGGCTGAGTGTGCTCTGGGCGCACATGGGGCTCAGTTGGTCAGTTTTCATACAGCCTCACTCCTGAGTCCCACTCTGACTAACTCGAAGGTTCTGTGTGTACCACAGTGTGCGGTGCTGGGCATTTCAAAGCTCCCTGGATGGTGGCAGTGGGCAGCTGTGTTTGAGAACCACTGGAGGTGAGGGTCAAATTATCTCGGGAGGCAACCTCGCTCCATGCTGTACTTCAGGACAAGGTCAGACTAGGTCAAGGTCAAACCCATGGCCCTGTAGAGCTGATTTCCTTACAAAGAGCACACCACTGCTCCTTCCTCCCGCCCTGGAGGAACCGATTCCTGCTGCAATCCTGGGACGGTCAGTCCCCGTCACAGTGCATTGGGTGCACGGTCGTGCATTTCACAGGCTCTGCACAGTCTTTTACTCCTGTGCAGAAACCACGCACCATCACTCTTAGAATTCTCATTATTGATGTCCCTATCACGGTCTTTTTCATCATGGTGGCTATCTCCCATGATTTTGATGATCATCCTTTCTGTCATGGGAAACTGTGCTGCGTGTGGTCACTCAGCATCACATGCAGTCTCTCTGTTCCCGCAGGGTGTCCATGTCATTGCATACAAAATACACACAGCAGGTCCTAGAGAGACACTGTTCGCCATGGTGTCCTTCCCGACGCTGAAGTTCTGACGTTCCCATGTCCCCTGTGCGGCAGGGTCTTTCTTAGTCTTCATGAGGAGA